CTTTTTCTGTTGTTAGGTCTTCCCTAAATCCAAATTGCTCTTTGACTAATATGTTGTTAGAATTTAAGTGTTCAAGTAGTCTGAATGTAAGTTATGTATAATAATACATAACTTTTTCAAAGACTTTTGAGAATGAAGTCAATATGGATATTGGTCTGTAATTAGAGATGCATTTTCTCTCTCCTTTTTTAAAAAGTGGTTTCATTACAGCATATTTTAAGCATCTTTACCTTATACAAGGTATATACAAGGTGGATCAGATATGACCAGGACTGACTTTTTTTAAAAACCATAATTGCCAAACACTTACTTGCACATGTCAGTCTTCAACGTACTCCCCTCTGGAGTCAACACATTTTTTTCAAACGTTTGGAAGTATCCTGATGCCCTTTTCAAAAAAGTCTGGATGACAGCAGCGTCGTTCACAAACCGCATGCTTTACAAGTCTGATTTGAGCCTTCCGAACAGGTAGAAATCACTTGGGGCCAAATCAGGACTATATGGTGGATGTGTCAGTAGGTTCCATTTTGATTTCTGGAGGGTTTCCATTGTTGTTTTGGCCATATGGGGGCATGCCTTTTCTTGAAGGAAGGCTACCCACTTTCCACCTCTCTTCCACTTGGATCAGATCTTTTCTTTCACGTCTGTTGCCAGGAGGTCTGAGTAATAAGCTGCATTGACTGTTCTGGCATCTGTCAGAAAGTCAGCATGGATAACCCCCTGCCAGTCCCAGAAGAATGTTGCCATCACTTTCCTGCCGAACGGCTCCTCCACGCTCTGTTGGGTTTGGGAGAACTGGTATGCCACCACTCGCGTGATGATTGCTGGGACTCGGGAATGAAGTAGTGCACCCATGTTTCATCGATGGTCACTATAGACTTCAAAAATGCATCACCTTCGTCTTCAAACTGCTGTAGGAGATGACTGGCAGCTTGCATGCGCACCATTTTGTTCACGTCTGTCAAAGTGCGTGGTACCCACCGTGCATTCACCTTGCGATAGTGCAGGTGGTATTTCACGATGTCTTCTACACTACCAACACTGATGGACAGCATTGCTCCAAGTTCCTTGATAGTGATGCGCCTATTCTCACGAATAAGTGCGTCTGTACGATCAATGTTTGGCTTGGTGACGGATGTTCGCGGCCAAGGATCATGCGGTTCATTCTCCATGCGCTCTCTGCCCTCCCTGAAGCACTTACACCACTCAAACACATGGGTCCATGAGAGACACTCTTCCCCATACTGTTGTTGGAGTCTGTGGTGAATTTCAGCGGACGGGACGTTTTCTCCAATGAGGAATTTGATCACAATGCGTTGTTCCATGCTCCGCAGTACCATCTGTACGCTCATCCCTCTAGCAACTCCCAGACAGGACTGAACAGGTTCTAACCCGAACAGGAGGGAGGGTGGAGGTTGTGGCTTCATTCTCAATGTAATGTAAGAAAAGAGGAGGAAAAAAACATGCAGAATCTATTCATTCTATTATATATAAGATGTAGGAGAGGAAAACCGAAAACTGATTTGAGGAAAAAGGTTAAATATTGACATATGTAATTATTTCTTGACAAGAGAAGTGTGTAATTTTAATTACATGAGCATCTCCTGCGGTCTGTTTCTGTTGAATCCTGAGCTTGTACATTGAGCAGTTCCATGTATTTCATTAAGAATGGGCACCTAAAAGCAGTTTTCTATTAAAATTATAAATATTACAGCTGTTTTGGCCCTCATTTATTACTAATTTATTATACTAGGAAACTGTTAGAAACACAGTCTATTTGCTCCTGCTACATGGTTTTGATACATTATGAGTAAATGCTTAATTACTGGTTTGCTTTACATAGGCATGGCACATAGCAGTTGTCTGCTAGACTAGAGCTGGCTTTGATCTTGCAGGAAGCAGAAGAGAAAACATTGAAGCATATTATATGGCTTCCATGTTTTGATATGTTATCACATTATGTACTGTGGATCTATACATCCACTCCCGCAGACCCCTTCATGGCATAGTGCTTAATTAGTTAAGCACAGGGACAACTTTACCTTACATTTTATCACATTGTATAAGTACGTAAGAGAAAATAGGTTCAATAAGTTAAATACTCTTTTAATCGTTTCTTGCATCCTGTTGTGTGTTTAATTAATAGTAGAGTGAATTTACCGACTACACAACACGTTTTTTATTATCACTACATGTTTCGATCTCAAGAGGTCGTCCTCAGGTGTATGAACACGGCTGTATAATTACACACGGTCACATTCACTTTTCACTCATTCGACCCTGTATCTTATCCAAATTTACACTCACTGATATAGCGAGTTCTTTTTATAAAACACAGGTTAAAATTATTATACTAATTTAATTGTTAAAAGTTAAAAGTTCGTGAATCGAAGTTCAATTCGTGTCACTGGTTACACTTTCAGTTGTTTTTACAGTCTCATTTTACTTACGCTCACAACTGTGTCTAGTTTTTTTAATTAGTTTAATTATTATTATTATTGGTTAAAAGTTCGTGAATTAAAGTTCAACTTATGTTATTGGTTGCACTTTCACTTGTTTGTGAGGTCTCGCTGTTCTTCTGTGTACTCTGATGTTGCTGGATCTGTTATGATCATTGTCGTGATGGGTACTGATGTGTCTTGCTTGTTCGGTTGGTTCCTGTAGGGTGTTAGCGGTGGTGGGTGGTGGGTGATGGAGCAGAACGTCAGTCTTTGTCATATTGACATATTGATGTATTGATGTAGTGTAACTAGTGACATGAATTGAACTTCAATTCATGAACTTTTAACTTTTAACAATTAAATTAGTATAATAATTGTAACCTATGTTTTATAAAAAGAACTCGATATATTAGTGAGCATAAATCTGGATAAGATACAGGGTCGAATGAGTGAAAAGTGAATGTGACCGCGTGTAATTATACAGCTGTGTTCATACACCTGAGGATGACCTCTTGAGGTCAAAACATGTAGTGATAATAAAAAACGTGTTGTGTAGTCGGTAAATTCACTCTACTATTAGTTAAATACTCATTTTCTCTTAACATACACCACACAAATTCTAGGTTGGGGGGAGGGGGGTTGTGGTGGTGTTTTCCACTAGCTTTCTGAAAGACAAGTATGGGATCTCTGATCAGAAAAGTTTTATCTATAGCATTCAGAATACTTTGAAGGAAAATCTGTGTTGCAGTTGTTTACATTATGGACTTGGCTACCAGTGAGGATCACCATGTACCAACCTGTCCTCCTCTACACCACTGAGGAACATGGATGCAGCCTGACAACCTTCTATGTTCGTGTAGAGCAGCATGAACCAACTTTACTCATGATTAAGACCTGCAACAATGAGGTTTGAAAATTCTGCTTTATCTTAATCAATAAAAGAATAAGGGATGCTTCATGGTTGGCTTCAGATTATTGCTTTAACAAATAGTTATGAAATAAAATATTATGTAAGCACTTCAGAGATTGCATGGTACCCAGACTGGTACTGTGTTACAGATTGGTTGCTATGGAGGGGGGGGGTGTCCTAATGGGCCGGGTAGGTCATTACTGCCCGTCTCAGTTAACACATAATACAGTTGAATTTATTGCTGGTGTAAAATAAATAAAATACAGTGGACCTAGTGGAGGGTCCTCACTACATCAGTACACACTGGTGGGTGCAAACCCTTTCATTCCGCCGTATCCTTTTGTTAATTTTGTGGAAGTTAATTTGGCAAGGTATGGGGCCTCCCCATACCTGAGTGGGGTCAACCAGCTCGGTAAGCCCAAATGCAGTTACTTACCGTGCGTTGGCTCAAGTTCGACCCCCCCCCCTTCCTCCAAGGTAGGGCCCACTGGGGCGCCCTCAACTCCCTGCCGGCTACTCCTGCGGTTCCTTGTACTGCTGCATTGTCGCTCCCCTAGAACGCTCTCAAGTGCCTCATTATCAACTGCCTGGTCTGGCTCTCACTACTCGTTCCCTCCTGGTGCCCTGCCCCCCTCCGCAGACGTAAGGGGGTGGGCCGCGTATACAGGGTTGCCAAGCGTCTTCCAAGGGCAGTGTGGTAGTTTCGGCCGGAGCGTCGTACTCGTAACAACTGGGTTGCATGGTGGTTTTGTTATGGCAAACTTATGCACATAATTTTATGTACAGTTGAACAAATGTGTCATAGAACTGACACATTTATGTCAGAACCAAAGGTTCAGCTCTGTAACACCATCTTCTGTTAGGTCAGTCCAGTCCCTTCACCAGGGACTGTTTTACATATGTTACTTTTTTGTTTTAGAAAAGTAGTTACATTTGTTTGTGCTGAATAGTAATCATATAAGACTGAATAAATTGCCACACATTATTATTAAGGTGCTGAATATTTTACAGCCCTTTAGTGTGTAGGCCACCTGAATAATGGGAGAAGCCTTTGTCTTATTAACTATACAGTACAGAAATATGACCTGAAAACCATGTAAAATAATATAAATCACATAACCTAAGTATATAAAAATTACAGTTCCTTGGTCTAGAGCAGCCGTGTCAAACATGCGGCCCCCATAGCCACTAAGTGCGGCCCATCAACTTTTAGAGCTAATTGACATTAAAATCAATATTAAAATTTTAGTAGAAATATTTTTTGTAAAGACAATTTCCCAACAGACCAGAAGACAAGAAGTCTCACGCAGACATAAACTAGCAGGCTACAGGAAAAGTGATTCTGAGAATTGCAGAAGGGTTTGTCCAGCTAACAGTTTGTAAAGTTCGTGAAGGACAAACTATTGTATTTCAGAAGGTTAATGCACTAAAATCCGCACAGCCTCACCACCCCAAGTAGTAAGAATGCAAGGAGGGCAGCAACTGACCGACAAGTGCAAGGGATTTCTACCTTCAAAACTAGCTTGCAACCCCCAGTCATTTTCTAATGGGCTGCTAGCAAACTTTCCCTTCTATGACCACTGAGACAAGATACACCTTCCTACTAGTCCGGTAGTCTCTTGTACATTGTCATTCAGTTCTTTTTCACACAGCGACAGGTGCTGATGTTATATTGTGATGAACATATAAAGGTTATAATTAAACATTAAATTATAAACTATGAGTTTTCTTGTATATGTACAGTAACATTTAAAGGGCGATGTCACTTTCAAAAAATTCAAGTAGCAAAAAAAGAACTATTGAAAGTGAGCGCCGTGTTTTTCAAGAAAAATGAGAAATCACTTATTTCTGTTGTGAAATAGAAGGTAAAATTACATGTTTGATTTGTGGACAAAATATAAGTGTTCCACTTTAGGTAATTATACTGAAATTATTCCTAAATAATAAATAGAATTAAATTTCCTTGTATCAAAATCTAATGTATTATTTAGAGGGCTGATGTGGCCCTCTGTACAAGTTGAGTTTGACATGCCTGTTCTAGAGAGAGTATAATAAAATTGGTGCTGAGTTCAAACTGCAATAAAATTCTCCATTTTATCAGTCAGAGAGCTGGTGGGCTTAGTCAGTATAGTAACTAGGCTGTGGGCTACCCACCCTGAGAATCAAGGTTGAGAGACTGATGGGGGCAGAGATTTTTTGTCTTCACCACTATGTCCTAGTTCTTTAATGTAATTATGTGCTTAGTAATAAGAAACGTGGCAGACTATATAGTGTTGAAGACAGTAGAAGCTGTGTGTATAGAGCTACTTGCAATGAAGGTAAAGGCATCTTGGGTAACAGTGATGTAACAGGGCTGTTTTTTAATATGATGGCAGATGCAGTGTACAGGAATTTTGGAAGTTCTTAAACATCAAATGTTCTGTGGATATCCCAGTAGTTCTTTGTAAAGCTCTGGGTTGGCTTGATTTCTTTACTTAAGAAACAGTTTCCTAATATTAGTGAATTGAAGCTCAAAAGAGTTATATTTATTGGTCCACATTTAGAGGTCTTGGAGGGCTGTAATTTTGACGACATAATAAACAGCCTTGAGAAAGAAGCATGGAATCTTATCAGAGCAGTTACCACTAGTTTCTTAATACAAAGCTGACACATTGAACTTGCAGAAACATGCTGGTTTAAAGCAGTGTGATACAATGTTTGTTGAAGATGTATTTTTTTTTTTTTCACTCAAATTAAATGTTGAACTCCTTTCATCAAACCTAGATTCACACAGCAGTGACAGTGGGGAAAAGTTTCTTAAGATACATCTGACTTCATAAAATGTTACTGGGAACAGTGGAATTCAAGTATGCTGGCTGACTGTTTTTGGTCTCTTAGCAGGGAGACTCCAGATGTCTGCAATAAATGTAAAATATTAACAGTGTTTAATTTAATTATAACTTTTGTACTTTATATAGTAAAACACAGTTTTATGAGTATATAAAAGCTTTCATTCTACTTTCTACAAAAAATATGGGTGATGCAAAATTTGCAGCCTCAGTTTTAAATTTAGTGAATCCCAGTTTATCGCAACCACCCATTTTAATTTCAAGGAGTGGAAACAAAATTCTATTTTACAGTAGAGTTACTTGTAGTGCACTTCATTCAGAGTGTGTGGTGTATGTACAGGTGTTTGGTGCGTATTGTTCAACACGATGGTACGAAAGAAATGTGAAGGATGACCATGGGAATCGACAGGCTTATTTTGGAACTGGGGAGACATTTCTCTTCAGCCTGTACCCAGAAAGAGCGAAGTACCCTTGGGTGGGTATGGATTGTGCTCAGGGTGACCCTACTCTTGATCATTCAGCTGAGCTTTTTATGGCAGCTGACTCGAAGATGATTACTATCGGTGGTGGGTAAGTGAAACTTCTGTTCTTAAACTCAGATTTTAAGTTTAGTTATGCTTAACATACACATAGGGGATCCGGAATAGCTCTGTCGGTATAACGACTGGCTATGGGCTGGAGGACAGAGGAGTCAGAGTTCGAGTCCTGGTGAGGCAAGAATTTTCACTTCTCCGTGTCGTCAAGACTGGCTCTGGGATCCACCCAACCTCCTATACAATGGGTACTGGGGCTCTTTCCTCAGGGGTAAAGCGGCCGGGGCGTGAAGCTGACCTGCAACTAGTGCCAAGGTCAAGAAAATATGGATCACTACATCCATTCCCCATACATCTTCATGGCATAGTGCTTAATTAGTTAAGCGCAAGGACAGCTTTACCTTACCTTTGTCTTAGCATACACGTAAGAGCTGGGTAGCGCAGTTTGTATAGCAACAGGCTACAAACTAAATTGCCAAGGTTCATTTCCTGGCAGAGTATGATTTTGCTCCTCTCCGTGGCATCCAGACTGACTCTGGTGCCCACCCAGCATACTGCACAGTGGGTACCAGGGGCTGGTTCCATGGCGATAAAGCAGCAGGGGTATGAAGCTGACCACTCACCTCCACCTAGTGTTGAAGTCAAGAGTGGTGGAGCTGTACCTCCACTCCCACATATATCTCCATGGAATGCTTAATTAATCAGGCACAGGGACAACTATACCCTTACCTTGTCTTTTAATGTACATTTAGCATCAATAACATTAGACACATGCTACCTACATGGAGCAGAGCTTTCTGTGAAAAGTTCTGTAGTTGTTAAGCTGGTTAAGGAATACCCCACCTTAGAGGATCCTGAAGGTTTGTTGCTATATTCACAAGAGACTGCAACTTCACTGTGTCCTGAGTTAAGAGTGTAGTCCATAGCAGTACACTCTGCTTCTTTAAGATCAGTTTTAATATTCTCCCATTCATGTGTAGGTCTCCCAACTAATCTCTTTTTTTCAGGTTTCCAACAAAAATTTTGTATGCATTTGTTATTTCCCCCATGTATATCGCATTTGCAAAGGATATTTGAGAAATCACTTGCAGTTTTTAATGTGTTATTTCTTACAAACAAAGGGGGACAAAATCATATGTGTTTAAATAAAAATAAGCCATTTCTTGCCATTTGCTTTGTCACTAAATTAAATTATAAAGCGTTCTTATAAAGTAATGTCTAATATAAGAAGCAGTGTTGTCCACACACTTTTGTAATCCTGCCAGCACATTTTCAGATTTACTCAAGCAGTCAAAGAAATTTCATTTCTAAGTAATTGAGTGATTCCTTGTTTTTGTCTGTGGACTCTTTCTGTAATACAACTCCTGAGGAGGAATTCACATTCCGTTACATCCAGAACATCCATGGGCATTCACAGTAAGCTTGAATGGTCATTGGAAAAGTCTTACATAAGTACAGTAGAAATGGAGTAACATAATAAGTCACTTTCTTTCTTAGTCATATATTTTGACTTGCTTACACAGAGCTCATGCAGCTGGCACCTTTTCTTCTGAACATGTTCATTATGCCGACCTTTTGCCATTATTTGTGTGGCAGTTTTTCTTAATACATTTGCTTGACCAGGGATGAATTTATGTTGTGTGTGCCCATGTAATTCATGTAAACGACTGATTGTTGTATGTCATACCTTGATCGAAGAATTGACTCTTTTATACTTAATTTTCCAGCCATTATTAACTAGGAACCAGTGATGATAGCATGGATTAGGGTTAAGAAATGTGGAAGTATTGTTGCAGTGTCCCATTTGGATAGGGAGAGTTAAGGATTTAAAAATGGGTGACGTATGAAGCATTCCACAGATTAGTGTATTTTAATCTTCATATTTTTAGAATTTTTAGATAGGTGACCATAAGATTAAAACTTTCTGAACTGAATGGCAGCTGTAATGTATGCTGCTTTTAATTTTCTGTCTTGATACAGCATCAATAAACAACCAAAACCTAACTGACAGATTAGAAATTGAACAGCAGTACAGTTCTTTTGGGACATGGACAAGGGAGCTCCAGAGAAGTTATCACTATCCCAGGATAGTGTCAGGTATTGTAGTTTCACATATTTAGTTCAGTTATTCACATGATGTCTAATTTCTGTTTCAGAGAAGGTCAAGCCATCTGGATGGATGAGAACATTCGGTATGGTAAGACAGATCGATGTTTGACATTTAACAATCCACCACTCTGTGAAAGTGGAGACTTTGAAATCAGAGTCCTTGAGGTATATGGCTTTAATGGAGTCTAATCTCATATGCTCCTCACTCACATTTTACTGTATTCACTCTTATGTGCTAATGCATGTAGGTTCTGATCTCAGGTGAAGATAAAGGTAGAGGAATAACTAATTGTGACTGGAGTTCTGCATTCCAAACAACATGTAAGACCATATAACATATTTCTTGCTGTATATTATTCTGTTCCCTTGTATGATGTAGCACAATTGGATTACATGTGTTCTTACCTCCACTTGTGCCAACCCTTTACAATGTAATGTTAGTCAGCACCTGACCACATGTGAGGTTAGAGGCTTATATGGCAGTTAAGATCTGTATTGCAGTCTTCTTGGTTATGACACTATGTAGTCTGTCATTTCTACCCTGAAGGTGGAAGCAATATGTTCCTTCTGAAATCCTGATAACCTTCTACCAGACTACGTGACAGATTGTAGACAAACATGCAAAACCATTTTAGTTGACACAAATTAGGAATATTATGGTATTTTCATATCAGTAATTTAATAACACAAAAAAATAACTTCTAATGTTAATTTGTCTCTTTTTATCATTTGTACAGTGTATTGTCACTGTTTGAAACAGTCATCATCATGATCATCGTGGCTCACAAGTTTAAGATGCTACAACACCTCTGCTTTAACCCATTCTTGTTAAGAATACTAACTGAAAAGATGAAAGCTTGTTGATATGTTGTGTGCTCTATGGAATCCAAAACATGTCACAGATGTCCTCACATGTCAGCTAGGTTCTTATTGTAGCAGTATCACATGAGCTGTCACAGTTGACAGTTTTCCTCATGAAATGCAATTAGATCTGAGTAAACCTATCTTCTGTAAATCAGTCCAAGGCTTGGTACACAGCTAAGAGCATCATGCCACTGGAGACCTTTCCTGCTGTGAACAGGACCAACAAGATGGTTATGTGAACTTGAAGAGTGGGAGCAGTAGCATCATCTTGAAATTTTGTGTGGTGACAGACATTTCAAAAGTATAAATCCTTTATTAAGTTCTTTATATATAGCAGGACAGTCCAATTTCAAACTGCTCAGAGGCTACATTGTATCTTAGGTGCCTATCCATGGGTTGCATTATAAAAAATATGCTCTTCTCTGATAGTGATACAAATATCTGCTTTGCAGTGATAATTGGATACATAAGGTTCAAAAACTTGCATTTAGATTAAATATTGCTTACAGTTATGGAGTCATACTTATTCCATAGTTTCCTAAGTTATTTATTAGGTGATATGTGAATTTAATGGAAAAATTACACACAACATTTAATAAACACTTCATATAATTACTTTTTTGTAAGATCTGCCACCTTCTTAAAGGTGGAGAAAACAGTGACACATGTGGGAAATGGTAGGATGCTCCAGTGGTGAATACAGAACCAGCTTTTGACCTGTCTGCTGCCAGTTAGATAGCCATGTAAAAAAATAAATAAATTAAGTGGAAAATAGCAAAAGCACCAAAGTTTCTAGCATAGCCATAAGAAATAATCAGTAATTGTAACTTCATCAGTGAATTTTGTATGGTTATACAACACTACTAACAAATATCTGTTTTCTGATGCAGCTACAAACATCAGTGTACCACGAAGATTATTGTCTTCTGGGGTGTGACACTGTGTAGTCTGGTAGATATATACTGACATTTCAGAGGGATGCACTGCCTCTATTATCATTGCCACAAAAACCCCAAATCCCACCTCATTGTACATTTATTGGCCATTATTATGTAATTTTGTATGAATTCCTGAGACTTGCATGTCTCAATAATTTTTAACTTAATTTCATAAACTATAGTCATATAGAGGCAGGGAGAATCCCAGCTTGATTTAGTATAGGTCTTTCAAATATCTGCAGTTTCATCAAGTTCATTTTTTAGAATATAGAATAAGAGGATGGAGGTTGTCCAAAATATTTTGGTCTTGTATTGGTAACCAGTGAACAATTTTAAAACTTTTACAGTAGTACTAGTGGTTGTAAGACATGTATAATCATTTGGAACCCTAAAATCAGTCAATGGAAAGTGTATGTTTCTAATTAAGGTAATAGAAGTTAATTTTTTTATATCATATTATAATGGTATAAGCTGATGTAATTTTCCCCCACCTCTATCCCCTCAGTATCTGAGACCTTCACTGATGTGAAACATGCCTCCTGTGGCAGAGTGTCACATTTTGTGGCCTTATTATCATGCTGTGTAAATTTTAAATTTCTCATGCTAGCCTTGTTTCCTGACATTTATCTTAAAAGATGTTACACATATATCTACAGAAATAAGTCATACTTCCCACTCACTTTTCAGCAGTGTACATGAGACATTCAGGGAATAGTCATAAAACCATGTGAACCTTTGGATAGTATAGTAAATTTTTTACACCATGGAATTGATACTTGGGGCCATTAGTAGTAGCCTTTTATTTTCATTTCATGAGTCCATTTCTGACTCTTTTGGTGAAATGTTATATTTTTGTGATGGCAGGTTAATACCATTCTCTCTTTATGTAATGTTTCAAACAGATATCTTTAAAAGTCATGCCCATAACCTTCTCAGTTTTTCTACCATTTACTTGTATAACTGCAGTAATGCCAGGATTACCTGCTAATAACTCTTGCAGGATCATTAGTATTTCACCAAATCAGCAGGCTGAATATAAGTAACATTTGTTTTATCATCATGACCAGTTTAGAGTCATATGGAATTGACCTATTGTAGAAGCCTTCGTTAACCTCTCACTTCTGCCTCAACTATTACACTGTCTAAGACTGTTTATGTACTATACAGTTTTAGATATAGTAGTGCAAGAGGATGCTTAAATACTGTCCACTGTCACCTGAACTGTCTTCACAATCCACCAACTCTGCTCTCACTAGGAAAGTCAGATATATATGGTTGACGTATGACTGACTCAGCATTTCACTTTTAAGGACCAGGATATCATGAACATGCTTTTCATGATTGTCCAGAATAATGGAAACTGATGGCGATTTACAGACATGTAAATAAGTTTTCTAAAAGACAAGAGAGTAACATAAAATTATGACTTAACATGAGAAAATGAAACAAATAATCTTTAGTATTAACTCATGTATTCATACAACTTTAGAGATCTAAAAGTACACAGAAGTAATGGTATATGTAATGAAACAATTCCCTTTATGAAACACCAGTAATTTCAAAACCTGACAAATGATGTGTGAAGGACAAGGATTGTTGTGGCTGGTACATGATTTGTTGCAAGGTACAACGTTTTGTTCATAATAAGAAGTATGTACAGCTCTCATGATTTTCAAGATTATGAAATTCTACTCGTAGTTGCTGTATTCACTTGCAGCTTAGAATTATTTGTGTGTGTGTGTGTGATTTGGATATCTTTATGTAGTTGTTACAGTATAGATGTGTTGTTGGTGTTTTAGTGCATGTCACCCACGTACATGGTGACTGCTAGTGGGCCTAACATTTCCTGCCAAGGAATTGACAGATTGGGATCACCTATATATGTGTGTGTGTATATATATTGTCACGTGTTGGGTATTGCACGCAACAAATAACTATGTGTGGGTCTCAGATTCAGCGTATCTTTATTGTGCTTCACTTATACACTTGCACGCTTTACAATTATCACTTGCAGTATTACAGGTACTGGTTACACCATCTCTCGGCCAATACTTCTGTATCTCTTGGCATCTAGGTTCCAACCTTCTTCGGTGGCAGCTTCCTGAAGACTGACTTCTGTGCGAGTGCATTCAACCCTGTTTTACTCGTATACCTCGGCAGTTGCTATACAATGAGCCTTTGTTATAACCGTGGAGACTCATCTCTACGCAACGGCTCACTGTTAGAATTATAGCACCGGCATTGTTACTTCCTATGCAGCGGTGTATTCTAGCGTTTCCATAGAAGTAACCCTTCGGAATTCCAAACATGTGACATTGCTCCCTTCTAAAGGTTGTTCGTCCCCGAACAGCCTAAAGATTCGTCCTCTCTTCCATTTCTGCGGTGTTCTGCTGGCAACGTCTGCATCCGGCATTGCTGTGTTGCTGGCATCTTTCAGTGCTGTTCATCCAACCGCATCCTCCCCTCTCTTCAGTGGTGCTCGCCCCGAGCACTCCCATAGCCGAGAATTTGTCGATCGCGTTGTTTTACATTCATTCTTTTCTCATTCAGTCTTTATTCATTCTTCCTAGGGAGGTCGGTACATCTACTACCGGTCCCTCCCATACGGGCCGTTTTCTTTCTTCCGCTTTGGAGGGGGTCGACCCCTCCACATCATCCAATTTTTGATGTTTTGTGGCGTGACAGGAAATTTTGTAATTCGCTTAACGGTCTCCTGTCCGGTCATTTTTCTATAGGGCTCTATTCTTGTTCCCCTTATTATATTGCGGTTGTGCCCATTGTCTCTTCCAGGCATCCATCCTTTCTGTGTTCCTCGTACCACATTGTCCCTGGCACAAATTTTCCCGATGGCATTATCCTTGCCGCGTGCCACTCTTGCACGGTGGGTCGTCCTAGTTCTAGAAGTGGCCAGGTCTCCCCGTGGGTGACACTTTTCCTGGGTAATGTACGACTTTACGATGTCTCTCATGCGTCGTGCCACTGTTGCGCGACGGTACATCATCTTGTCGGTTTCCTTCTCTTGCTGTGCCAATTTCACACGGAGTGTTGTGTGGGCGACGGCCAATCTCTCCTGGGGTTCGCAATGTATATATTCGAAATATAGCAGCCGAGATCAGTGGTACAAGAAGTAAGTATAACAGTGAAGCAGTGGATAATAATTGTACTTGTAAGTGTGTAAGTGAGTGTCCAATGAAGATTTGTGAATCCGAGACCCACGTGAATTTATTTGTAGTGTGACATACACAAAACACGTGACAATATATATATATATACATACACGTGTGAGTGTGTGTTATCTTCCACTGTCCCGTAATGTTGACTGATGCAACTAGCTTTAAATGTGCTGCTGTATGCTCTTACCTGCTCAACCAATTGGACTAGGTTTTAGGAAAGGATGTACAACTGTAGAAATCAAAACATTTAAAACTGAAGAGCTGTTTTTATATAATATTGTTAGTATATAAAAATTGTGTAGACTGAGTAGATGGAGAAAATTTTTGAATACAGATGCCATTTAGGCCTCTGATTTCATGTTTCAGGAGCTTTTGGTATGGGGTGCAGTTGATGTACTCTGGTGATCTAGTCAAAAAAAGCTGTTCCCTCCAAAAGCTTCTGTTATGTTTTAAATTCTATTTCTCGTTGAGCAATATTACTAGTACAAGTGCTGCACTCCAAACTCAATGTACCTTGTTGTTTTAATATTAGGAATCTTCCTGAGTTGTTGCCTCTGCTTGCAAAGCAAGTTTGATTTCTTTCATACTTGTAGTATATTTGCAGATTAGACCCACATGATATGATTGCATGTACATAGAAAAAGACCTTTATATATAAATATATATCATTACTTCAAATATAAGATGCCCTGGACTTTAAGATGCATACAGTTTTTTAATGTGAATTTTAGGAGAAAATTAGAAAAATGCACATTCCTCGAATTTAAGACGCATCTCAGTCTTTCAACAGGGAAAAATGTGTCTCTTATATTCAAAGTAATACAATATATGTGTGTGTGTGTGTTTGTGAGAGAGAGAGAGAGCGAGAGAGAGAATGTAGTTAACATGTGGTTACAATTTCATCCTGGACAAGTGTTACCTACCTGCTGAGAGTGAAAGAGGTGTGTCATTCACTTGAAATGCTGGTGTTGGATTACTTATTTAATTTCTTACACTATAACCATCAACACAACAAACAAAGTGGGAATATCTTCAATGAAGATAACAGATGTTGGTATATATTTTACTTGTTTAATATAAAGTGGTTTTAGAATTATTGGAATGAAAACAAAGTACCAGTGTATTTGGTGAGAATTTTAATCAAATAATTTGTCTTAAATCTTTGTGAATTAAATCCATGAAATGCAATATATGAATCTTTGTATTTATCTTGATCTGTTTGAACATGAATTCATAATACCATCAGGGATTTTAAACGTACTGTCTTGAAGAGATATTAAAAATCCCTCATGTTGTAATCAGTGGCAGAATATGCTGGGACAATTAAAGGTATTTTAACATGTTGTATTTGTTGGTTTTTATTTATAGATATTTAACAGACAATACAACAGAAATGGAAAACAAAATAATTTGTTATAGTTATCAATGTTTGTGGAATTTTTCCCACTGTTTCTGGAATTTATTTGGTAGACTTGCTGTAGTTCTGGATGTTGTATATGTGCTTAGCTAGTAAGTTCAGTGAGACATGTCACTTAGTTTAAGATTTATCTGGAACACTGCTACATATAACACTGGTTGCCTTGTAATGTTGGTGAAAATAATTATAATCCAAAGGCTTTAGCACATAGTATGTGTATAATTTATGCTTACCCTACAAATGATACACTTATTTTATAGCACAGAAATAACACTGTACTTTCTGTAGACTTAGCACCAAGTTTCTACAACCATTTGTATATAATGATTGGGTTGTAGTTCCATTTTTGTTGCTTATAGATCCACATAATCCTTGAAGCTACAGCTTACATTGAGTCGCTGAAAATTTGCCTTTCCTTGTACAAGACAGTTATAATGGTATTCTAAAAGTAAAAACAGGTTTATATGGTGAAGCACATTTTATCACACACACACATAACTCTCTCATGTATGTGTGTGTGTGTGTGTGCACGTGCATGCATATGCATGTATCTCCCACTAAAATCTTGCAGAACTTCCACATGAATTGACCAGTTTTTATAGAAGTTAGTAGGAAAGTCATGTTATGCAAGGTTGCCAGTGTCATTAATCCCATCTTCAGCAGTTCTGATATGTTGGCCATGCAAACTTTTGATAAGTGATTCAATTTTTTTTTTATGAAATGAAGCATGTGGTAATACAGTTCTTAAAATATGGAACTATCATTGAAGGCATTTCTGAAATAAAGCCAAAGTAGCTGTATTTTTTATTTGATGATAATAACTGAAAAACTGTTCTGATGGCACACATTAAGATTGTTATGGTGAAAGTATGAATGTGCCTATAAGGTAAAGTTGTCCCTGTGCTTAACTAATTAAGCACTACCTGATGAAGGCATATGGGGGATTGGATGTATAGATCCACGTTTTCTTGACCTTGGCACTAGTTAAAGGTGAGTGGTCAGATATGTTGTATATTTAACATTGTGATGATATGATGTTCTGTTACATGAGAGGAATGGCAGCATCACTGAGTGTTGGATTTTGGATGTTTGTATGGCAGCAGAATCTTTTTAATATATGCAGTTTTTGTTTGGATCCTTTTTATGTAAAATTGAATTCGCAGCCTGACACAAAATTTGTTTCCTTCAATTAAATAATGTGAACTGATGAATTTTATAGTTGGGCATGTGTAATTTGGTATGGTGACAGATTAAAAGCTATTTAGAAGTTCTGTCATGACAAGAAAAATACCAATATGCAGAAGTGCAAACCATTGGAAGTGTTGATTTTCAAAGGAAATGTAACCAGCCATAGTCAGCCTGTTTCACACTAGATGATGTGTACAGAATTTGAATGCGCTGATGATTTTACTCTTTCAGACTGAGTTCTTCAGTCCTTAGCGTCAATTTACTGAGGTTATGGGTATTAATGTCAGTTGTTAGATTTAACCATTTGTATTTATAATTTTTCCCCATTCCACTTGAAAACAATAAAATCACTTTTAACCAGTTTTTTTACGTATTACTAGCCCATACATCTTCATGGCATGGTGCTTAATTAATTAAACTCATGGATAACTTCACCTTTACTTTTACATTTTATGTGACTCATCTTCCTTTCTATAGAAAACATAATTTTCATAATTTCTTCTTAGCATATTATCTTCATCGTTGATGTGCAGATACTGTATGAATCTATGAATATGACCATCGACACAACAGAAAATGAAAGAGATGGTTTTCAAATGAAGACAAACATGTATTTATTTATATATGCATAGATTTTATGCTACATGTTTCAACATATATATATAGGTCATCATCAGGCATTCATATATGAACTGTAAATCAAGTTATGTTATATATTCAGTTAGTTTTCTAAATACAGATCCATATTGTGCAACTGGTGTAAATGTTGCTGACAAATATCATAATAGAATGATTGCAAGCTTTTATCATGTGTTGAAACCTAATGTAAATTGGCTAAGTTAATTATACATTACAAAATTTTTTTATAAAATATATAAAAATGTTGGTCTGACAAATATATATAGTTGTCAGTAGTTAAAAAGGTAAAAAGTTCATGGCATTTTTCCAAATAGGGTGTTTAGATAATCATCCTTAGGTTTAATTTTATTTAATACTGCCAACTGGTTGTTGGTGGCACTTTAGGGATGCTGTACGAGACATGTGCTGAAGTATTAATGGGGTCTTCTTATTAGCCTTCTGTTTTTGTGGCTATTGCTAATATTCAGGCAGAGTGTATGAGTTTTTGTAGTACATGTGTCACATCACTTCCTTTTACATCACATACACATAAGTCCCTAAGATCTGTCTCACTGCCAGGCTAGTACAGCTGAAACCTTGCCAAAGCCAAACATCTTACCAGTGTCTTCATTCTTGTAACTCTGCATATGCATGGACTCTGTGCAGCTTGATGCTTTGGACACCACAACAGTCACCTTTGTGACTCATGAAGGTGAGATATATCCAATATTGAAGCTGTTCTTTCTATGTTTTCCTGTTTTAGAAAGGATAAACCCTTTTTAATTTGCTCTGTTCTGCTGGGTTAGGAAAAGCAGAGGGCTGAAGTACCTTTACTGTAT